CTCTGCGCCTCATTTTCTAAAAAGTGCTTTGAAGATGTGCTTTGTAAGAGCCCAACCAATTTTTTTTTTTTGGTAGAATACTTGAATAGTTTACTCCTTCTTGGGCTTGGGGGTCTGAAGTGTGACACTACTGAACTCTGCTCTTGTCCCTTCCCACCACTGAATTTATTTTATTGTTACTATTCTTTTTTCTTTTTGTAAAGAGACCATTATCTCAGGCTGAAAACAGACAAAAATCATGTACATAAATTAGCATATGGAGACTTTGAGATGGAAACATGCCAAACTATTTTACAGAGAAATCCAGATAACAGGCTACAAGATCGAGTAGCTTTCATGAGAACAATAAAGAAGACAATTTCCCTCAGTGCTTACCACAGAAAGGGAGATAAAGCAATTGAAGGATGGATAAAAGTGTCCAAAATGCATAAAAGAGGAATTGATGGGAAACACTGGTGTGACCACTGAAAGGGCCGTGGGTGGAAAAAGTCACACTGTACAAAAAACTATGGAAAAAGAGTGAAGCAATACTCATGGAAAAAAGTGAGATCAAATAAAAAAAAACTTTCAAGATTGGCCTGGAAAAATAAGGCTTTATGAGTTTAACATGAGGACTGGGTTCTCACCACCTGCGGAGAGGAATTGGCCTTGGCTTACTGGAGGTTTGTTTGGCCTTCTTGGCAGGAGACGAATTGTTATGCTAATAGTCCTCTGGCGGAGCAGAAAGTTCTGAGTTTGAATAGAAAGAGTTTTGCAGAAGGGAAAATTCCCAGCCCCAGATCTTTACTCTGAGCACCAGCACTCTTTACAGACTTGATACTTCACACTCTAATTGTAAGCAACAGTTAGTATCATGACAGATATTTCTAGCATTTTGTGAAAACTAACAGAGTTTCTACTAGGAACTCTCCCCAGGAGGTTTAGGGTTAGACAGAGGATATCCAGGGTAAGGCTTGAGCCAGGCGTCCATTGGGTCTAAGGAACAGATTTCTTTTATAAACAGCATTGCTGCATAGCTCAGAATTGCCCACCTCATTCGTGTCTGTGTGTCTCTATCCCATTAAATTCTCTTTCCTTAGAGGTCATTCCACTGAGATGAGCCCCAAACCCTGCGGTACTCAGGATGAAGTCCCTAACAGTCAATGCATTATCTAAGTGGACTTTCTTAAATTTAAGAATTTAAAAGAGTCATCTGTTGGATTATTATTATTTTTCCTTTTTTGGAGGCAGCATCTCTCCCCCATCTTCAAATGACCTTCCTTAGGGGCCATTGCCTACACAGCTGATGTTCAGTTTTAGTGAAAACTAAAGATTGAATGAATTTATACTAACACATGATTGACTCATAACCCCTCAGGAGTTGCAGAGTTACAGGATTGCAAAAAATAGATTGTTTCTTAATTGCAAATGAGCAAATGCTCCCACACCTCTGAACTCCCATCCTGTTCCCACCCTTCCCGGGGTAGAGCCTGGATTCTTTTCACTCTTGTATGCACACATTTTCAAAAAGTGATAACGTGACTCTTCTTATGTTTCTTTTATAGCAGATGCAAAGGAATTTGGTTAGAACTGAGCCCATGTGACAAGCACAAGGTTCAGAAACTAATAAAACTCATCGGGGGGCTTCCTGTCTTGGATCCCCCCCACCCCAGGGAGGTTTTGTCCCCCCTCTTCTGTTCCCCCTCTTTTGCTTATCATGCTTATCAATCTTTCTCCCTGTCAGTAAACTCTGTCCTATCACTTAAAAAATTAAAAAGAAAAAGAAAACTCTTGAAAATAATATAAAAGTTTGTCAACTAGAGGTTCTAATTGAGGCAACCAAAGTTATTAAAATCTGTCAGGTCATCACTTGGGAAATCACTCCAAATTCTAGGAAATTCTCTGAGCCCCATTTCAGGATACAGTATAATATGGTATAATTCGGACCTTATTCGGGATTTATAAACTCTGCTCTCATCAAAGGTAGATTTCCACATCAGGACTGAGGTTTAGCACTTGATAAAACTGAGCAAATGTCTTCCTCGCTTTTATGTTGAATTTGGTCTACTTTACAATGCAGATAGTAGAGATAATAAAATGCCGGTTGACCACAGTCCACCTGCTAAGGGCAGCTAGTTAACATTGGCACTTGGAGAGGTTTCTTAGCAAGTTAAATTCCCTGACCAGAGAGCAAACGGAGGTGGGGGGGCGGGGGGGTTGAGGGTAAAGGCAAAGTTTTCGAATATCACTCTCTATACTTGCCTCGGAAGTTTAATAATTAGCATAAATTGTATTAGAGATAGTTTTAAATTGAGGACGAGGTGATATTTAAGAACCACGGCAGGATGTAAAGATGTGCGCTCACCCTTCTGCCCTCATATGAATGGGGCGTGTACCAGTCAGGGTTTGGCTGGTAAAAAATTAAAATAAAGCAAAAGCACGCTACCCATTTCAAGTAGGCAGGGATATTGACCAGAGATTTAAAGTTTTATAAACCTACGAGAAAGTCTGGGAAAGTGAAGGTCAGTGGAGCTGCTTTGAAGCACTTGGGAAAGCGGGGTGTTCAGGGGTGAGGGGAGCTCTCACTGCTGTCTGCCCTCAGTGTGGGAGGCGGGAACCGCTGGGAAGCCACTCCCATGTTCTCATACCTGCTGTCTGCAAAAAGGCTTGCTCCTACATTTTATTTATTTTATCTTATTTTATTACTATTATTATGATTATTTTTGAGACAGAGTTTCACTGTTGCTGGCTATGGCATCAGCCTAGCTCACAGCAACTTCAAACTCCTGGGTTCAAACAATCCTCTTGCCTCAGCCTCCCAAGTAACTGGCGCCTGGCCCACCACCCAGTTTTTTTATTTTTAGCAGAGACGGATCTAACTCTTGCTCAGGCTGGTTTTGAACTCCTGACCTCAAGGCTAGGGTGGCAGTGGCTCACGCCTTTAATCCTAGCACTCCTGGAGGATGAGGCAGGAGCATAGCTTAAGCCCAGGAGTTTGAGCTATGACGATGCCACTGCACTCTACTTAGGGTGACAGAGCAAGACTGTCTCCAAACCAAAAAAAAATGCACCTGAGGGCTTCTCATTGGCAGAATATGCAGAATGACTCAGAACTCCTGCGAGCAAAAGGGTTTACCGAATATAGTTTCCTAGCCCCTAGCCCTACCAGAATTTAAAAGAGAAAGGATGATTTTGGTTGCTAATAAGCACTGTCAGGCATAGGGCATGGGAATCTGACAAGTCCAGCATCCTTCTAAGGTTCGTCTTAGATCTAGCTTAGCCATCTCCAGTAGAGCTCTCTGTAACCACAAGCACGGCCTGTATTTGCACTGTCAAGTAGGGTGGCCACTAGCACCATGTGCCTAGTCAGCACTTGAAATGGGGCTTGGATTTTTGACGTTTATTTCATTTTAATTAACTTAAATTTAAACTTAAAGAGCTAGCTCATGGCTACTGCATTGAGCAGTACAGATTCAGAACTCTCTTTGTCCTGCTCCCCTCTCCCATTGCCTTTAATGGAAGACAGTGTTGCCTGAAGTTTCGCTGAGCCTGCCATCTAGTATTTGTTCACTGTGTGTTGAAAATTTCATATAAAGGGCCTGTGGCTCACACCTGTAATCCCAGCACTCTGGGAGGCTGAGGTGGGTGGATTGCCTGACTCTGGGAGAACCACTGGCCTGCTTCTTACGTGGTACATAAACCCAGCATTTGCCTGCACAAGAAAACCTCTGTATTACTGCCTTCTGGATGATTCTTCAGCTTCAGTACAGTTCTCATTTACCCAGTTGCAATAGGACATTCTGGGGCCAGGGGTTTGCAGCTTCAGGCACTCCTAGGATTACCTCTACATTGCTTGGTCCTAGATTAAGGGGTCGACTGGGGAGCCCTGCCGGGGTAGGAAGTGTGTGTGTGGTTACAGCTCACACAGTGTCTGGGGAAGGGAGCTCTGCCTTAGATGCCTGTGAGGGGAGGGGCCTGGGGACTGGGAGGACAAACGGTGGCCAGGACTAGCACAGAAATAGTAAGGATCTCCTCTTTTAGATATATTTGGGGCCCTCCCCTCTCTCCTCCACTTTGGCACATTAATGAATTTTCTCATTTAGGGGCTTCCTTATTTAGCGTGATAACCCCTTGGTCCTACTGGCACAGACAAGTGTGGTACTCAGGGGGTGATGCTAACACTCTCTGACTGATGTATGTTACTTTCAGATTACCCCCCTCATTCAAACAGTGAGTGCTTAAATCTCATTCAGCTACTTGTAAACCATATTCAGCTCTGGTGCAAAGCAAAACTAAAGACTCGCTGATTGTCAGCTCTGAATGTGCTGCTGTGATAGCTTAATTTGTATTAAAATAAAACCATCACTTTCTCCAGTTCAGTCATCAGACCTTTGGTTTTAGCTGCAAGGAGGACTCCGCTTGCAGTGAAAATCTTTCTTTTAGAGCACCTCAGAGATCTGTGGAGGTGCGATGATTCCCTGCACAGCATAGATGGTATAGTTCATGGGTTCAGTGAGATGATTAGGTAGTTCGTTCACACCTTCATGTTCTTTCTGACCCTGCTAAAGTGTGACAATGCTGAACATTCCATTTTTATTCTTAAACTGGAAGCAAAACATCCGTGAGTAAGGAAGCATAACCTCTTAGAAACTTGTGCTTGCTCTCCAGTTACTCGTTCGTGTGGGTTAATGGCGAAACTGGTTGGCTTTTTACAGGTGATTAAAAAAGCTTCTGGACTGTATTTCTTAAATAGGATTTGCAAGATTTTTAATGCTTTAAAATGCAATGTTGGAACCAAACTGAGCTATTGAGTTTGGGGGGTTGGGTTTTTTTCCTGTTAAGTAGACTTGAAATTCTTTTGGAGTCAGACTGACCTTAGATGGCTCAAGGGAGCTGTGGCTGGGGATTTCCAAAAGCAGACACTGTAGGCTTGTCATATTGCTAAGCACTGACCCCCACCCCCAACTTATCTCTGGGCACACAGATGCCTTGGTAAAGCCCTCTTGCTTCTCTCTTTGCAGGCCTGCTGATTGGAGCTGGATGTGCTCTCTATCCCTTGGGCTGGGGCAGTGAGGAAGTCCGGCAGACGTGTGGCTACGTTTCCGGCCAGTTTGACCTGGGTAAGCTCTCTCATGGATGGCACTCCTTCCAGAAAAAGAACCTTATCTGATGTTTAATAGAAGCAGAAAGTAGAAGAGGGGCAGATAAGAAAATCCTATCTTGGTACTGCAGCAAGCACTCACGTTTGACAATATAAATTTATCCATTTGTTGAATGAAGAATCACCAATAATCTACTGTCTGCCCAGTACCGTGATGAGTACTGTAGAGACAAAGATAAGAAATGGCCCCTGGTCTCAAGAGTTTATATTCATTGATTAATTTATTCAAAATCATATATTTATCACACACTCCATGTGCTAAAAATGGCTCTCACTGTGGAATTTCTAGTCCATCAGAGAAAAGAAGCAAACAGAACAGTCAAGGGCGTGACAGCTGGGGTGCCGGAATCCAAAGCAGATGGGTTTAGGAAAGGCTGAGCATGGAGCTGAGTCCAGAACAAGCGATGCACATGTTTTATGAGGAGTAGATGGACGAACTTGCAGGCAAGGAACGTGGCTCAGCAGAGGTACAGGGAAGAACGAGGCAACTTCCTAGGAGGCCACGGAGGCTCCAACAGCAGGAACAGCGAGGCCCTCTGCCCAGGGGGGTGAGTGAACAGGTGCAGGTGACACATTAGTGAAGGGCAGTGTGTGCTGGTGACGTTCCAGGCACACTTCACTGGTAGCTATCGTGTATTCTACTTTGCAATGTATAAAAAATTTTGCACCAGTTGTATCATTTTAATTTGTAATAATTGGATAATATTTCACTTGCTTGCTACACTCATGTTTACTTAGCCAATTGCTTATCCCTCTCTGGTTGGGCATTTCATCTATTCTAGTTTCTGTCACTGTAGGACGCACTGTAATGAGCAGTTTAATGAATATAAGTGTTTTCCCTACTGAATTGACTTATTAGAGTCTTTCTATAGAATTGGTGACACTAAATCAAGGAATATGAACTCATAAAACACTGCTGTGGGGAAAAGAAGAATCTTTTTCCTACCCATTGCTCGGTTCATAGCTAAGCCTGGACTAACGACAACAACAAAAAGGTATACAAAATTTTTTAAAATAAATTTTACATGGCTTGGCAGCCTTTGTAAAAAGATGAAGACCAGGAAAAACAGGTGAGCCCGTGTGCTTTTTATGCTAGGTGCAATGGAGCAGTGGGTAGTTGTGCACAAGTGTGGGCCAAGAGGCTATGATGTAATGGTAAGAAACCAGAGAGCTTAGCAAGGCCTGTCTGTTCAGATTCCTCTGGATAAAAATGTTCCTTTCCTTGAGGTATAGAAAGGACACCTCCCAAGTGAAGGTCTCCTGACCTACTTAGGGAAAGGTCAGATAATCCCCCCTGAATTTTATGACCTGATTCAGGGGAGAAGAGCAAAGGGAAGGTGAGGGTGACCTTACTGCTTCTTCTATTCTTTCAAGTGCCCAGGTAGTGTATGTGGGGACAGTGTGTCCTGAACCCCATCATTGCCAAGCAAATACATTTTCCCCTACTATGTGGATAGACAAGCTGAGATTCTGACCATTAGTATACAGTAAGTTACTTACGTAAACACCTCCTTTTCACATGAAATATTTTACTGTAAGAACAAAACTTCTGGGGGAATTGGCCTAATGGCAGAATTCATATATCCCAAACAATTATTTTTATATTTTTATAACTTATATGAAATTTTTTTCTGTTAGATGCCGAGTTAATGAGTGGATGGGGTGCAGTATCAAAGGTCTGTTAATCTGAAAGTGAAGAAAATTGTATTTGACTTAATGGCTGACAGACATCCTGCTTCCTTCCCTCAGAAATAATACTGGCTCACTTTACAGCCATAGAAGAGACGAAGACTTTACATCTTTTATGTTTACCTGGATGGAGTTGAAACACACTCTTCTTAGGAAAATATCTCAAGAATGGAAAAATATATATCCAGTGTACTCAATAGTAATTTGAAACCAATTATAAATATGTACACGTCCACATGAATAATAAAACACAAATATAGTCTAGCAAGGGGGAGGAGGGAGGGCAATTGGGGGATCCCCCTGATGTGCACAGTGTGAGGGTGTCAGCACACCCCCAGTGAAGGGCTCAGCTACAACTTGAACTTTACCTTAGAAATGAAAACAAGGTAACGTGAACATTTGTACCCTCATGTTAATTTGAACTAATAATGATAATAATACTGGCTCTTTTGGTAGAGAAGACTGTGTTCTAAATCCCACCTAATTGGTGTAGATAAGAAAATAAGAGATTTCCCTTTGTTTCCTCCATGACAAGGCTTTCCTATGTCTGACTTGGTGATTGTCATAAATGTAGAGAAGGCAAAAAATGAGAAAGGCTGAAATGCTGGCACGAAGTTGACTGCCAGCCTTGTGTTTTTTGGAAAGCCAGCAACATCCAGAGGAGCTATTTAATACGGAGTTTGGCGTTTCCCTTTGCCTGGTGTTGGAGGCCTTCGTGGCTGCGGAGCACAGGCCTCAGTGTGCTTTAAACCTGTCCTTGCTGATGCTCTGTCACCATGAGCTGCTGCAGTAATGAGCAGGTCAGAGGGAACTCCTTCTGTTACTGCCCTCTCCTGCCCTCACCCCAGTACTCTGCGTCCTCTCAGCACTGGGTATTAAAGTTTTAAATGTCAAACTAAAGCTTAAAAAACACTTTCCTCTTTACTAGTGGTGGTAATTTCTTATGCTATTAAACTCACTCAAACTGTTTTAGCAATGTAAGCAAGTATAGAGTTCTTTTCATGTTTTCCTTTTTGTTATTAAATTTATCTTAGACTGGATGGTAAGGGGGAAAAAACCTGGCATCATATACAGGTAAAATTAATTCTAGATCCCCTGAATAATTTTGAGGGAAGGATGCTTGTCAAGTTCTGTTTCTCCTGGTTACTATTATTTTGGTGGACTCTGACAATTTTTCTTTCAAAAGAGGATCTGAAGAGAAACTGTGGCATAAAAACATCACTGGGCCCATCCCACCTCACTTTCTGTTTTCTACCTTTGAAAAATCATTGTTATTCCCTCTGAATACCAGGAAAGGCTGAACTTGAGTGCATTAGTGAAGTCACAAATTGTGGAGTTAAATTGGGAGGGTAGGTGGGACCTGCAGGGCAAGAGGCACAGATGGGGCCCCTCAGAAGCATGCCTGCTGCTCGCCTGGGCCATACCCTGCCTCCACCACTTCTGGGAACCTGGGCTCACTGGTGCCTCTCTCCTAGGAGACAGTGTGTGGGCGCATCTTCCTCCCAAGGGCTGGGAAATGTTAATGTTTTCAAACCTCATGCCCTCCTTCTTGCGGAATATGGGCCACGTTTTTGGCATACTGTTTTTGAAATGTGGTTACCCTCTCATCTACAGCATCCCAAAAGAAATAATCACTTTTGTTCCTACACGAAGGATTATTTAAGGGAGTGCATTTATTTTGATTGCCTGGGTCAGGTGCTGGGAATATGACATCAGCAAAGACACTGTTCTGTGCCCTTCAGGGAACTTAAAACTAGCGAGGGGGCAGATATTCAAAAAGGTGTAGCCGTGAGAAGTCTGTTAGAGAGTGTTGGGGGCTGCAGGGGCGTTGTTACCGACCTGCTGACATGGTTCCACCTTAGTTGGTGAGTCTAACCCAGAGGTTGGCAAACATTCCTGTGAGGAGCCAGATGGTACTTCCAGCTTTGCAAACTGCCAGATCTTTGTTGTGGCTACTCAACACTGCAGTTGTAGCTTGAGAGATAACAGGGGTTCCCAATAAAACTTGTTACTAAACAAGCAGTAGAGCCATAGGTTGATAACCCCCGATCTCCGCCAAAGAATAACCCTGCCACTTCAGAAATGGTTTCATTTCAGGTGTGTCCATTTTCAATCCCTGCCGCCCCTGGGGCGGCTGGTCAGGACCTAGGACAGTTGAAGAGTGGATTGCGGAGCCCCATCTGGTTATCGTAGTGTGCATATGAACGCTGCAGTTTTCTTGTTGGGGGCAGTGGGAAATAAGGTGGGAATACTGTAGACCAGCCTCGGCCATCCCACCCTAACACTGGCATGAGACGGGAAGGCTTACGCCCATTTGGGCCAGTGAGACCAGAGGCTTCTGAAGAAGGGGTCCCTTTTCTAAAGGGGAAGCAGCAGAAGCCGTGCTCTCTCTCCCCTGCCCATCCCCTCTGACCAGGTGGAAGAAGGAGTCTGCTAGGGTAGAGGGAGGCAAAAATCCAGCCTGTGGCTCAGCCATCCTGGGTGCCAGTTAACCTCACTGACACACCATAATTCACTTCTTCTTCTTATTCGTTTTTTTTTTTTTTTTTTTTTGCAGTTTTTGGCCGGGGCTGGGTTTGAACCTGCCACCTCTGGTGTATGGGGCCAGCACCCTACTCCTGAGCCACAGGTGCTGCCCATAATTCACTTCTTTATTGGCTAATTTTGAGGCCTTTTTTCTGTTATTTACAGCATCCTCACTGGTATTAAGTTCCTATTTCATAATTCAAGGGCCTCACAAGCCTATATGGGATTTAGGTGGGTAAAGATGGGGCCCTGGTGTGTTTCGGGGGTGTGGAGGGGCAGGCGGCAGAGAGAGGGCGGGAGAAGAGCCAGGGAAGACCCTACTTCATGTCCTGCTTCCCTGTTTGGATAGCCTTAATCCCAAGTATCAGCCGTGGTACAAAATATTATTTTATTTAGTTCAGGGGATGGGAAAAATCTCTTAGGGTAAAAACATTTAAACGGAGCTAAAAAGTATAAGTGGTAGGTAGGCAAGGAGGGATTTCTTAAAATGGTCACACTTATAATGTGGTAGGAATCTTAAGAACCTATTTTAAAAATAACCTCCTTTCCTTAGAAGGGAATATGGGGGAAAATTTTTTTTTACTTGCCTTAAAAACAATCTCATAAGTCTATTGATTTTTTTCTCAAGCATTTTTATATTTTATTACCTGCAGAGGCCTGAAGCGATTGTGCAGAGGTACTCTCTCTTACAAATCAGAGATTCTGACTCTGTTTACTTTTGGAACACTAATTTATAAAGAAGAG